TATTGATGCACTACCAATGTCGACAAAATACTAAGTAGATATTTTAAGGTTTCAGAGTCTTTTACCTCGAGGGTGTTTGTGACTCCTGCTGGGATCAAACATGAGATTCAGGCTATTTCAATTCAAATATTAAGTGACTGATCAGCTTCCAGTGGCAGAGATTCAAGCAAATATCAAGAATACAATGACTTACTGTTAGTGATAGAAACAAAATCATCTTAAAACTTCACCACTGAGCAATTAAAAGTGGAGATATCAGGCCTCATTAGTACTGGCGTGAGTGTACATGTGGTGACTCTGGCTCCCCCTGTTATTATCTCCAATCATATTACCCTGCGTTGACGATTGCATCCACATCTGCAGTGCATTCCTGTGAGGCCAGGAGGTGATGAGAGCATCCTACGCCAGAATGACTCGGCAGGATTTCTTTTGCGCTCCTTCCATCCCCATACTCCTACCCACAGACTGACTCACTGCTCTCTGGCTGAGGCCCAGTCCGTCTCAACTCCTCCTCTCCTCCCTTCTCTCCTCTCTCCTAAAGCCTATGATCTGATGTGAATGGATGCTGACGCTGGGGGGGGGGCTTTCTGCAACACTGCTTTCACCCATCAACTCAAATTCTGATCAGGAGAAGGAAGGAGAGAAGAAGGAAGGAAGGTGGCAGAGAAGGATTTGTTTCGGAACAGGTCCTCAGATGATAGGAAGCGTATATATATTTCAAAAGGTGAATTAGGGTTATGTAGAAAATAAATGTCTTTAATAAAAAAAAGTTAGTGTAGAGGCACATCCAATTAAGATTTTTAGATTAGAAGTGAACCAACTACAATATTTTTTCATTTATGTTAGCCTGCACTGAAGAACCAAGCCATGCTAGCAGGTAGGAAAAAAAGATACTATTAGCAAGAGAGCTGTGCCCAGTTAATGGCAATCCATTAACGTAATAGTTCAACATTTTAAAATACAGTTAATCACTTTTTTACCAAGGGTTGGATGAGAAAATCATTATTACTGTAATGTTGGTGTGCTTAGTATGGAACTATGAAGCCAGGAAGCAATTAACCTAGCTTAGGAAACGGTTAGCCTGGCTCTCTCCAAACTATACTACGATATACTACCAAGCTCCCTCTAAAATCACAAATTGTCATGTGTTAATTAGTGAGAAGTTTCAGTTGGTTGCTGTATTTTTGAACATTGGAGAGAGCCACGCCTATCCCAGTTTCAAGTCTTTATGTTAAGCTAAGCTAATCAGCTCAAGGCTCTAGCTCAATGGTTAACACACAGACATGAAAGTGCTTCCCATCCAACTCAAAGCAAGAAACGATTTGGTAAATTTCCAAAAATTAAAACTATTCCTTGAAATACAGGTGAATAATACTACAATAAACCTTTTTATGTGTGAATCTCAGTGATTATTGATGTACCTAGAAGTATGTGGGGTATTTTAAACATGACCGTTTCATTTGAATAGTGGCAGGCTGTTGTTTCTTTTTTATTCTGTCAGGAGGCGGTCGTGGCAGTTCTGGTTGGGTGACTGTCCTTTTGTTGACAGAGGAAATGGCTGCCTTGTCCTCTACACCCTGACAAGTTAAAGTCAAGCACTGAACAAACAGTCAGAGAGGGGAAAAATAAAGGAGCAAAGGTAAAAAGTGGGAGACAGGATAGTTTGCAGTGGAATTTTATAGGTTTTACAGCTCTGTCAGATTCAATCCTGTAACTTGGCGGTCTTAAAAACTATCTACACTGTTTCTTGACTTCACTTCGACAGCCATTCTTACATTCAAACTTTCAACCTAGCTATTTCGAAATGTAACCTGATGTTATTTCTTTTGACAACTATATTGAAAAGTCTTCATTAAAGCAACAAAGGTGTGCACACCTTTTATAAAAAGAAACAAAGCAGAGAGATATTTAGCCTTTAGAATCAGAAGAGACCTTAAAAGCTTGTCAGACTGCAAGAAACTTGGCTAAACTGCATGAAAGTTGAAATAAGAGGGGCCCAACAAAAGACTGAAACACTTGTTGCCAAGGAGGATTTTTCTATGTTTTGTTGAATCAGCAAAGCCATAAAATTTTTAGAAATAATTGTATTAAAAGCAAAACATATGACTTGTTCCAAGCAGGTTTACAGGCCCAATGGCACAGAAATACCTATGACAGTTTGGCCAGTATGTCACAGAGCTAAAGGGCAAAATATATGACGATGAATGATATTATTTTTTACAGAAGCCCATAAAGAGGCTGGGTCAAGCAGCAATTTTATCATATTCACTTCCTTCCTTCTCGTCCCTGCTGCTGTACTTTGACTGCTTCTGTGTTGCACTTAACACATAGACAAATACAATCACACTTTTAAGATTCCAGTTCAGCTGAGCTGTATGACTTTGAGATGCAGGAGGAAACCAGAAACTTGATACAGAAGATGTAAACTTGTTATTATTAAGTTGAATGATTCCACACTGTCACATGTACACAGGGCAGAGTGACTGGCAGTCTGCGGGACATCAAAGCTCTCATTTGAAATTGGTGCAGAACTGCAGACTGATGTCTAATGCTCAGATCAACTAATAAGACTGTCCCACTCATGAGGTTCAAGTACTGTATTTATATTTTCTCCCTAAAATGTCCATATATTATGCTTTATGCATGGATGAAGACTGAAAGCCTGCCTTCGTGCTTTTGAAATTTTAATGGGATGAGAACAGGTAATGCGGAGTGGGATATATGGGCCCTCTCAAGCACTCCTACTGCTTGAGTGACCTGTTCCTTTCTCCTTTTGTCTTTCCAGTCAATCCTGTTACTCTTCCATTCTCAAATTCTCTAACTACTCTTCTGCACAAGCCTCTTCTTCAGCTTCTTCCCACTGCTTCCGTCTGAAATGACTTCGCAGCTCTTCCATCCCATCTTGACGTCTCTTGAGATACAGTCACTACGCTCCTCTCTGTTCTGATTCTCTAGGTCGCTGCGTTGGACGGCGGTGCTTACCAAATGTCAGAGGCGGTCAAGCGCCTCCTCAAGAACAAAACGCGCCCTAAAAGCCGCTGCCGGCCACCTGTCATTCAAATCAGACATCAGCGCTGTCTCAGATCATTTGCTCTGACGTTTAACCCATTCACCACTTTTCACTGTGACAGATCACTGGCCAATGATATGACTGGCTCTGATGGGTAATCACTGTATCTGTGATTGGAAGAGACAGTGGACACTGAATTCCTTGAGGTGAGGTGATTCTGCACTGCACTCATTTTGTATCTCAGAACTTAGACAACATTTGCTAATGAAAAAAAGTGACGTTGGAAGAAATTGGAGGGATGATGTCTTGGCTGTTTAGCATGTTTTTGTCTCTTCCATATATTATACCATCATGAATTTTTCAAAGCATACTGTTTGGCTTTATCTTCATTCAGTTTCTTTAAGAAGACATTTTTTTTTATTTCAATGTGACATTTTTAAATCTGCAAGATCTGCAAAAGGATGTTTTCCTCATGTAATTGTTGTTGTAAAAGTTGTAAAAGTGTTGGTGCATTCAAGGACAGTCTGAAATTTGCAATTTGAGAATTGACTGCTGAACATTTTAATGTAGGAAGGAACAATATTCAAAGCAAATCTCTTAAACCAAAACACATGACTGCTGGTTTGTCTTCTGAATCAGGTTTGGAGATACCTTAACTAATGCGATGCTTTTTTTGCTTGTCAGCCAGAACACAGTTCTTGGATATTGGATTGTCCTTGATGTAGCACCAAGGAGAGTTTTGGAAAGGCCCCCTGGTGCCACTTTTCTGGATAGTGGAAAGTAGAGGGGTGACAGTAAATTAAGGGGTAGAGAGCAGAGGGATGATGTGCACCAAAAGTCCCTGGACTCAAATCAGGGACGTTGCTGCTATCATATGGTCAGTTTCCCAAACCCCTACTTAGAGCTGCAACGATTAGTCAATTAAACCAATAGTGGTCAACAATTAAATTAATCGCCAACTATTTTCATAATTGAATAATTGTTCAGGGTAATTATTCTAACTAACAGATCTGATTTCAGCTTCTTCTTAAATGTGAATATTTCTTTGGGTTGTGGACAAAACAACAAGGCTTTGGCAAATTTGGCATATTTCACCATTTTCTCACATTTTATAGACCAAACAACTAATCGATAAATCCTGAAAATAATCAACAGATTAATTGATAATGAAAATAATTGTGTGACAAAACAAAGAGTTCAGCCCTCTGAAATTAATTTTACAAAACTGACTGCCTTAAATGTAATCTAATATCTCATGGTATGCTTTTAAATAAAGGAGTTGGAACTAATATTAAGTATTAATGTACACAATAGACTAAAAATGCAAATTCAGCACTATGGTTCCTAAAGGATTTCGGCCATATCATTCAGTTGGCTTCGTCTGATGAAGGTAAACTGTATTTCTCATCATGATTATCAAATCAATCTGAATCTCAGACATTTTAATTTCATACACCAATCCACCATTTGTGTGCATATGTGTACTTGCATAGCTGTGTGCCTTGTGCATATTAAATGCTTGTGTGAGTTTATGTTTATGTTCTGTGTGTGTCTGTGCACATAACAACCTGCTGGTATAAACCTTCAGGTGTTTGGGTGGCTTCACACCTGTGCCCCAGTGAGGGGAAAGCCTCAAAGGCCGAGTAAGTGACCCAAATAATGAGTGTTCAGAGAGAGAAACCGGGAGAGAGAGCATCAGCCTCTCTGTCACCTCCTGTGCTCTGTGCACAGTTTTGCAGGCGCGCAGACACATTTGCCTAATGAAATGTTGTCTGTTTGCATACAGTATGACAGTCAGCGAAAACTAACAGTTCCCACAGGCGGCAAAACTGTGACACTGGCCCTGCTCGGAAGGACACAGTTCACGTTGCATCAGAGCGAGTGTGAGGGCCTAACTGAGTAAAGGAGAGAAGGAGGAGAATGGATGTGAGACGGACACATTGACTTAGCTTTCCTTCTTGTCATTTGTAGTTTTGTGTGCAGCTCTTACCTCTCTCTGTTGAACTTGAGAGAGTGGAGGATGGCTGGTCTCTTCTGCCTCAGGTTCCACAGGTGAACACTGTCGTCAGCCAGAGCACTCACCAGCGCACCCTGTCATAACAGAAAGGGCATTTCATTTTATATACGGACAGCACATTCTCTCTGTGAGCATGAGTCACACTGCATTCCCTGGAAACTTAAATCAGGCAGCTTTCTCCCAGGTAACGATGATGATTCATAAGATGTATATGAACGTATGTGTGCGTGTAGGAGGCAATAAAAAATCTCCCTGAAGGTTTATTTGAGCTGCTGAGTCACAGTCACACAGACGCTGACACACACACACACACACACACACAGCAAACACACACAGCTAAACATGAAATACCACATTCCTCATAAATATATAGTAAATCATCAAACAAATTTTTTCTCAGTTTTTTTCCTCATATGAATCACAAAGTGCTGCAGGTACTCAATACGCATACCAGAACTGCCCATTTTAGCTGAGCAGTTACTTAATACAGGTTGGGTCAGTCGTGGGTTGAGTCACATCTGTGATTTTATAAAAGGACAAATGCAAACAACTGTAGGTTATACAACGTTGTTCCCATGCAGTGTCCTTTGAAGAAGAATGTGACCAGGTATTCGGTGCCACATTTTGATACTCAAGGCTATGAACACAGTAATGCTCAGTACTCAAAAAGTATTGAGGATTGTTACCCAGCCCTGCTGATACCAGGGGAATTTGGTCAAATGACTGATTATACTCTTGGTATACAAGCATATAAGAACGAGCGTTGATAAAACATTGAAAAGAGTGGAGGGAGATAAGCAAATAAGGGAGGTGAGTTACTTTCACACCTATCTTTCATATACCCTTCCCTACAACAGCACACAGTACAAACTACTTCTGAACATTTTAAGGCGTAAAATGCGATTACCAGGGATGAGCATTCATGAATCAGTCTGTAAGTCTTTATTAAATGATATACAGCACAGTGTACTTTTTTTATAGAAGTGGAATATTGGTGCAGGATAATAATTTTCTTTTACAATAACACAAATACCCACTGAGCTACCTGTCTTGGCTTTGTAAAACAAACTGGTGAGTACAGACGCCTGAGAAAAAAGCAGTGTGCTGTTTCTCTCATTTTTAATTTTTTTTTTTACCTACCTCATTGACAAGAAACTGTAGCTGGATGACGGCCGCTCCACTTTCGTGCTGGCAGTAACACTCCACACCTGGGCGCCCAAACCTGAAAGGTTGTCTGTCAAGGAATGTAAAGTGCCACCAAAGGGATGTGTCACCAAAACCACTAGTTTTTGTTTGCGTAGGCAGCTCAGTACGCACTGCATATGCATGAGGTTGAATGTACGGTAGCCCAGAACAAGTGCCTCAGGGTCAATTGCACCCCGCTACACCCAATTCAAAAGGTCATGACATCTGTTAGATGGTTGCCTGCTTAGGAAGGAAAATAGAATATCCAGAGTGACATTTTAATGGTCTTTCATCAGACCTTGAACATTTTCACCACGTACGACAAGGAAAGAGCTTCACATTGCAGGGCTTCAGCCTTTCTGACTCCTCGCATGCCTGTGAATCACATTCCTTTATCGAAAATACTGTAATAATTCAACATCTCATTATGTGCCCTACAATTATACACCATAGGGTTTAGTGTTACCATGGAGTATTTTATTTTAAGACAATGTTCTTGAATAAAAGCACTTAATATGCTAATTACCAAACTCTATATGTAATTCAGGTGTTCATAATGATTTGGAAATACTGACCCACTTAGTTCAGTAATAGTAGTAGTAGTATGGAGTATATAGAGATATACTGTATAGATAGATAGATTGATAGATGGATAGAGTCAAATCAAAACAGGGCAACATTGGCATTGCTGCAGAAAACTAACAGGATTGAGAGGGAGAAAATGGAGGGGGGGTTCAGATATTCAAATATATAGAAAATGAATCAGCATAGAAGAGGTGGATATTACGTGAGCAGATGAGAAAATAATAGCATGGAGGGAGAGAGAGACAGCGATGATACAGTTAAAGAAGAGATAGACAACTCTGATAAAAGATGCAGAGGAGAGAGAAAACAGGCAGAGAGGGGCGGGGAGGATGGAGGCTGGAGAAAGAAGAGAGAGAGAGGGGAAGGAGAAGGGACTGACAGAGAAAAACAAGCTTCTCTTCCTACGGACAGTGAATGGGTGAGCTTTTTGATTATATCCATTCATTCTTCCAATGACTCAGGACTATGGTGGGGGTGGCAATTTTTCATACAAGGGGCACATAGAGGTGTTAAACACTATTGCTCATCATTAGGGTATGTGTGTACAATAAATTGCCTGCAGAGGCATCCAACTAAGACACAGTTTGAACCACGCATTGACTTATGAATACAGATTAATCAGATATTATAAGAGGATCTTTCATGCATCTATATAGGAAACACAGAAAACAGGGAGGAAGACAGAGAAAGAGGTATTCCTTTAATTAAGCAGGGAAAACAACCTCACATCTTGGTAGTGACAATGGTGGCAGCAGCAACAGCCAAACAAGCGCAGCCCACCTAAAAATCGAACTCAAACTCCAATAATCAAGTCCTCCTTTCTCCCACAGTGCAAACTGTGTCTTCAACCCCCAGACAGGCACCAATGTAATTTATTACGCTGTTATGCATATAATCATTCCTGAGGTGTGTTGTCACTATCCCAATGAATAAAGCTACCACATCGACAGAGCCAGCACCACACACCTTTTCTCCCAAGCCAAAAGCCTCTAACTCAGCCCGTGCATTATGTTTTTTCCTTTGGACTGAATACACAACAAGGCGTTTATAAGTAAACAAACACACAGTTTGCATCATTTGGTCCAATATATTAACCTCTATGCAGTGGCAACTATTTAATTTATAGTTATATTAGACCACAATGTGCTGTATTGTACTCAGTTTCCCTCCCTATGCAGTATTTCAGTGTGTTTCAGCTGACTGTTTTGGTTCTCTAAAGTTACCCCCAAAAAAACAGCACCAAACAGCAAACAGACAACGTTAGCGACTACCTGATGTCCACAGTGGAGCATTTAAGCAGCTGAAGAGAGAGGTGCTTGATGGAGTCTTTAATGTTGTTCTGGATCTGCTGGATGTGTAAATAACAACTGTCATAACAAGTTCAATCGTGAATTCACAAGCATATATGTAGTCAGTGCTATAAATCACTGAAGAAGTTGTAAATGATATATTAAAGACTTAGATCTTTGGGAGAAAAATATATAAAAAGTCTGAGAGACTCATGGTCCTCAATCCAACCAGATTTATCAGAGAATGCTGACGGTCACTCTTAAATCACAACGGTGCACATGCTACTGTATCAGAGTAATACATCAGAGTGATACAGTAGCCTCTGTGCCCCCTGAAAAGCTGCCCCTCAACTCTCCAGGTGGATTAAGCTTTGCTCTCCCCCTCCTAGACATGCAATTAAAGGACTACAGCTCTGAGCCAGCGATGCCCTGACCAAGAGAAATCTACCAGCTCCACTGGATTTCAGCGAGTAAGCCCCCAGGAAGATTGAGCAGACCTAAACTATTACACCGAGATGGTGCCAGCAAGTCAATGATGAATCTTCCCTTATATGACACCTGAGTCAGTAACCACTGTCATCTGGATAACTTAGCCTCAAAAGCTTGAAACTTGAAATGTTGCCCTGCCACCTTTTTGACCCTAAGTAAACCTTCAAAACCTTCTGTTCTGCCTCACTCCACTTTAGACCACCTGGCAATACCCTAAACAAACGCTGCATGAGCTGTATGGGAAGCAGAGTTGGACTGAAAGTTGTCAGTCCTCATCTCTCTTTTCACTTTTACATTGTAGGGACAGAGTTCAGTAAGTAAGGATAAGCCAGCCTCTCGCTGCCAAATTTCAAATTCTACTATTGGACATTTATTAGAATTTAGAATTTAAATTCTCCTCAAATGTACATACTGTACATCAACATCTCTGATGTTATCAGGTGCAATCAAAGAGGTAAGCTGCATCTAGAAATTTCTATAGTGTGAACAGTAAGAGAGCTTCAATAAACCCAAGGTGATCACTTGAAAGTAACAGTGTAAGTAGTCATTAGCATAGGATTTGAGAAACAGAAAAAGGGAAAAAGGAAGAAACATTATTGGAAAATTCCTAGAAAACTAAAGGAAACTCAATATTACTTAGCACCTGCTTTGTAGTGAAACAAAATAAAAGGAAGAGGCACATATTTGCATTTTGTCTCCATTCTAAACTTTGTCCTCTGATTTATCAAATACCCCATTAAAGATACCAGTTTTTCAATAAATCACAGCATGAAGTTGAATCCCTGAGGTTGTGCACACATGCAGTCCATGTCCGCTGCCACAGTAGCTGCATTCAAAACAAGTGCAACTTCACCAACTGTCAAACAGAGAGACCTTCCAGAGGAAGTTCAAAAAAAGAAAAGCGTTTGGAGGTCTCAGCAGTGGTGCCTCAAACAAAGTGAAATATGTAGAGTGACAGGTCACTGCTGCACTGAACATTCCAAGTTTAGAGCTGCGTACACTGCAAGAAATTAAAAGCCAAAACAGTACTCTGATTGTAAGAGAGAGGCAAAAAAAGCTCATCAGCGCGCACCAAATTTCTGTCACAGCCAATGGATGAGGACAGAGGATCCCCAGTGCTCTCTCCACTTGACCTAGCATGGCCGTGATCCTCGAGGATACTGCCGTTGGCTAAACTGTCCCGGACTTGGAGAGAGACACTAGCGTCCATGTAGGTCACAATGTGCAACGAAGAGCAAGCTTAGATCAGCTAATTTAATGAGGATCATAATGTACGGTACGCCTTGGAGCTTTAATTATGCTGTATTTAATTGTTTCCAAACTCCGAAGGGGGAACGTGATGAGAGAGAACGCGGTGCCAAAACATAAGAAATAGTCTATCACCAAGTGTCATTTGAACTACTGACTGAACATGAACATAATCAATGGCAATTTGTTTCCATAAGCTGTGGAGAAATTGATGTGCAGTAAGTTAATAAATGCTCCCTTTTGAGAAAAGAGTTAACTAAACTTGGACAACCAAAATATAGTAATATTACTTTTAATAATCTAATCAAACTCAGATATTAGGTAATCAGACTGAGTAAGAATGTCATGTTTGGGCATATTTCCCTTTTTCAATAAGCACTAAATATTCAAACTCATCCCATTTTCCCATAAATCTGTAGTTGTTTATGACAGTACAACCTCTGTACACAGTTTGTGTTGAGCAACCCTTTTTCTGTGTAACCGTCATACATGCAACAGTGCTTGTGTGGTGTTGATCAGGATGGTTTGTGCCCGGTGACAGTACAATCCATCCAACTAAACTGAATTAATTGAAAATTCTTTCCTAATGTTGCCTGGCAACTACATCTTCCAGGGCCTCAGAAAGAAAGATTTAAAGCCCCCCTCCAGTGTATTTTGACATTTCTATGATATTTCACATTTTTCTGAGTCATTTCCTACAATGTTGATTACCCACATAGTTTGCCAAATATTTTGTGACAAATAGCTTAATTTTGTGCTATTGCTTAGTTGTTGAAACGGGGGTTGGGACGTATGACTATAGTAATTCCATAAGTCATACGTCATTCTTCAAGCTTGCGCAGACGCACTGTCATGCCTCGTTAAAAAACTGTCACGCCTTGTTAAGTCAGAGCATCAAACCGATAAACATCGTTGTGAGCTAGCTAACTAATTTATCATGTAATTTACTTAGAACTTACAGTAGGTCTCTCTGTGTCTGATTGTTGGTTTGTCTTTCTAGTTCAGTTAGCTAAGTAAACTGAGTTGTAGTTAGCTAGGTGTAGTTTGCTAGCATCCCCCAAACCCCTGCGGTAAAGTAAGCGCACCATAAAACGTAGTGGGAGTTATTGTGTGCAGTGTGTGACAGGACCATCAACTGTATGATTGATAACAGCTGATACTCACACATTAATTTCTGTCATGGGTAAGTAATAGCTACTCCTGCCAGTAAAGTGTACTAAACTTCAAACAGTCTAGTGATGTTAACACAGCATATTGTTAGTGAACACTCCAGCCGGTCAGTTTTTGGTTGTCATGGTAATGTATTACGTCCGACTATTAACCACACCCCCATTCTCTGTTTGACAAAGAACGTTAACCAAAAATGGCAGTTAAAACTGGCTGGAGGAGGGCTTTAAGGTTTTGCTTTGTGAACGGCCCACATTGC